CATCAAGCAGAGAAGCGTCGACGAAAGAATATACCACCAGACGCCGCTGAGCAAGCACAAGGGACAGTTGCCCTCATTCCGTTGATATTATGCCCATGTACTCTGATATACTCTAAAACTAGCCAATATGGCGACTGGTCGCTCGCATACGAAGAGAATGGACGATGAGTTGGGAAAGGCAAGCATCCTCAATATTTTGACTGCCCAAGAGTGGAGTGGTGCCTCTATGGAAAAAGACAGTGGCGGATACTAACAGGGGGACATTGACGTACAGCTGTGCGTCGCTCAAACAGATTCACGACGTGGGGTGTTGCCACATGCCACGCCTGCAGGAGTTTCACCCGAGACGTCCGTGTGCTAATCTGGAGCATATATTCAATAAATGCCCATTCATCGGAATCCTTGATCACTGATCCCATGTGGGATTCCGACATGCGACCAGTGCTGGTGTCCAGCACCACCATGTTTGCGTCGTCCCCTTGGAGCCCTCCTTTGTTTTCTTGAGATTTCAGTGTTTGATTGACAAGAACAATGTTTTGGAAAGAATACAGAAAAGAAATTGTCGAACACTCAGGCGCTGTTCAGTGATATGATCAGTCGGCGCCTGTGGGAACGGTTCGTCCGTGCCCTCGTCTGCAACGAACTGGGGGCTCGCATGGTTGCTACGTAAGCGCAGTGCTGAGTATGCCGTATGCTCAATCTCTAATGAAAGTATAGAAAACCACATTACAAAAGGTCTTGACGCACTGCTTGGGAAAAGCATGAAGTGTAGGATAGAATTACTAGTCCGTGAGCCCTGCTCGTTACCGCACCACAAGCTGTTTGAGATGCCACAGTTGGCACCCCAGTAAAAACATGACTTCTAATGGGTGTAACATATTGTTAGAGCGATTAATCTACTGATCCTGGTCTTCACATCTGCCACTCATATCTGTGGTTAGGGTCCGCATAATTACTGGCGCTCCCAAGTTAAGGCCAACATGAGGGACCGGCCGGCTAAACTCTCACAGAACGCCACTTCTTTCTCTAGGCTTCTTATTTGCCCCAATTCGTCTTCTTTTTAAC